AGTTAATCAACTGGTGGCGACGTGACAGTTACACTCGACGACTGATCGGAGTGGTCACGGGTGTACATAGGAGGATTTTTTATTTTTCTGGTTAAGGGTGTTTTTCGTACACATGATTTCAGTTATCAGCAGGTAATTACTATTAACGAGTGTTTACATTTTTAACAAGCCAAGTGGCGAAATGTTGGTGCACTTCTCTACCAGCTATGTATAGGTATAGCTATCGAAGTCGTCAGAAAAATATTTTCTTAGAAGCCAAGTACAAAATCAAAATATATATTATTATCGTGTCGGTAGTTTTTTTTTTTATTCTGTATTATTCGGTATCCTGATCGCTATAAATATTAATCGTAATATTATACACGTATGGTTTACTGATCATCATCGACATCGTCATCATTATCATCATCATTATCTTTGTCATTGTCATCAACATCACTATAGGTAGTATTATACGATTATAATATTATACGCGTGTACAATATAATATTGTGACTGACGTCCGTTTCGGCTGCAGCGTACCCGCGACGAAATCTCGCGGAATAGAAATCTGAGACTTCGGACGCGTTTTCCGACGGACCAACAATGAATTTCGCTCTCGACGTGCGATTAAGCACCGGCCGGGAGAAACACGCCGATGCACTAAGCGAGTGTGATCTCGAGTGTAGAGCCGCACACGATATGTGACGATAGGTATAATAAAAATAATAATAATTGACAGTTTGATTGTACATCATGTGTTGTAAGCGACGGCGTTGTGAAAGGTTGGCATCATCGACGTCTATATATTGTTGCTGATAATACGACCGGGGACCCCCGATGATCTACACGACAACAATAAAATATATATATCACGCGACGGACGGATTATTATTGAACGATGTACACGCGTAGAATTCCGGACGAGATGATATTATATACATATTTTTTTTTGTCGGATTATTATATTGTATTATATTATATATCAGTACTATATACACATGGGATGGTTCTTATATGAAAAGTTTTCAAACACACCTCGTTGAAATCGAAATCCTCGTCCGGTAGTTTTGACATATATCATATATATGTTATACTATATTATATTATTATACTTTACGAGACGCATAGCAATTGTTATTATTATCATCATCATCGTCATTATAGCGCTGACGATTGACCACCGAAAACGACGATTCGAATCCCGATAAGGCGCGCACGACGGGTAATTTGTTTTGAAACGGTCAGTCTGTGGTCACAATCACAAAGCTACAGTTGACAGTTGTATATAATATGCGAATAAAAAATAAATCAACGCCCTACAAATTACACAATAACTAATAATATAAGGATTAGAAAACCAAAGCGTGCAGTCTAAATTCCGGACGGGTGTTGTATATTATAGCCATTAGGCTAAATGTTTCGAGATTATTTTAATTCGAATAACACCTATTACGTAAACAATATATAATCGTAGAGCTATTTTATGCCTTTTAGTAAGTACCTATAATTGATGAAAAAAAAAAACTATTACGTTTAATTTTTTTTAATTCAACTAATTTACGTTAGTTCGTTACCGCTTATAATATAGTAAAGCTGTCATATATATATACATAATATAATAAGTATTATCTAATAAGTTATTTATGTCTATAAATAAACACAAAATATTTGTATACAGAACGTGAAAATGTAATTGCGAGAAGAAAAAAGTGCAAAAAAGTGTACCTATCTAATGCGTATGGTTTAATGAAAGATTGTTGATAGGTAGGTAAATTTATCTGAAAAATAATTTTTCTCTAAAATTATATTTTATGAAGATATTAATCTACTTTGTATTATTTTTTTAACACAAAGATGCTCTATATTTTTGTTAGAAATTAAAAATTAAATGTTTTGAGTAAACATAGTGATACACATCATATTACTTTATTTATTTTAATTGATATAAATTTGTCGTCTATGGACAATGGATATCGTTAGAAGTGAAACAAAAATATCAGATATCCCTTCTTAGTGTTATTTTTTTATTCAAGACTAGAAAGTTATTAGGTACGAATATAATTTGGTATTTTTCTGGTCGAAGATCAAACACTTTTTTCACGAAAACAATTATTTTACAATAAGTTCAATGGTTTAGGTGCAGTGAAATCTATAACAAGAAACACACCAGTCTATTGATATGATGTAGGTACCTACAATACAAAATGATTATAGTTATCGATTTCGTCCGATTGTGTGACATTGATAACTTACTGCAGTTACAAATATAGGTAGGTACTCCGGAAAACCAATTTCTTTAACACCGGAATCCGCTTATTCCTTAAATCTCTCTCTTATAGTACGTACGACCAATATAGTTACTGGTTGGTATAAAGATGAAATAAAATATTATCATTTCTGTTTTGCACGTTCCAATGACAATTGAAGTTGAATCTCATTTTGATAAACGCATACTTAAATACTTAATCAATAAATAATAATAATATTTAAAATTATTATGTTTCAGACTTCAGTTACATTTCTAATATACAAATACAATATATATATTTTACTGAGAGAGGGCGAAACCAGCAATAAGTATTATAGTTACATATACTTACTTACATAGTTACATAACAGTTAATAGGTATACGCCTATAGTAACATTAATACTTAAAAGCATAAGGTATCACATCATAAATAGTTAAACTATTTAAAACTAATATATAATTTTTTTATTTCGTATATCTAATTTGTATTGTGAATTGTGATATTGTTTTTAAAAAATAATTTTACTTAGCATTTCTAATAAAATTCTGACAACAGTTTTTCAAAAATTAGCCATATACGTATTTATTTATTTTAACATTTTTCTTATTTTTACCATTATTTTTAGTGTTCCGAGTGATATTGGGCAGGGGGTTTCATCTCTCCAGTTCTTTTTTCCGTCATCTTCCATCCCCCTTCCACCATTTTTATTGTTTATAAATATCTATCCCTCTTAGATTTTTCAAATTTGTAGCTCTTTTTATAAGACGTATCAAACAAATAATTTTGTTTATAAAATATCTTTAAATGATCTTTTTTTATAAAAATATATTTTGTTTTCTAAAATTTTAACATTCAAACACCTAAAGCCAATGGACCAAAACGTCACTTATTAGCTTAGATATCCATAATAATTTCAAAATATGGGTATCTATCATAATAATATAATGGTAATCACAAAAAAAACCGAAATAGATAATAGCACACTAAAATACCCATTGTAGCACTGTACTGGAGTTTATGAAAACGCAAAATGTAGGAATTTGCTGGATTAGAATCTATAGAATCCCCTCACGCCACCACTCCCACCTCTTATTTCAGTCCACTTCACTGATTATTTTAATAACTTTTTTAATCCATGCATAAAATGTTCCTTTATTGAATAAATATATGTGTCTATACTATCTATACAATTTTTATCCAATGTTTAAATATAATAATGTATTTCTCGTGAGAATGACAGTGCAATATTTTCAAAACATTATGAAATAATGTACCTACATATAATATAATATGTTTTAAACGTAATTGATATAGTTATAGTTTCACTTTTTTTTCTCTTAGTTAAATACCGATATTTAGTATGTCAACACGAAGCCTATCGATATAATATGTAGTATAATATAGTTACGCGCGATGAATGATAGACGTTTGAATAATATAATATTATGACCGAATAACGTTATTAGGTAATATTCGTATGTACTACGAACTCTTCGATTATCATTTTTTACGCGCACGGATTTTTTTTCTAACGATAACTGTATCGTACCCATTATATACTATTATAGAAGTACATTATGTTTATATCAGTGTAAAGAGGTGATAAAAAAAGCAATAAACAACAATACTATCTATACAAATATGGGTACCTAACCTAAACCTAACACAATAACCGTTTATTTGATAATATGTATAGATCGGTGTTCAGTGAGAAAACTCATCCAAAGATTAAAAATATTTTGTAATTATGTAATATAGGTACATTTATATTGCACAATAACGCGTATATCCAATGTGCTCAAGGTGGCAATTTTTTTGAAAATTTACGGGGCTGCAAAATGTTGTATGGAAAATATTCAGATTTCTATATCAAAATTGTAAAGTCGTTCGATAAAACTATATTTGGTTTTCAACAACACAATTATTCATTTTTGTATTTATTTTATTTGGATTATTCGTCCAAAACATTATAATAATATACCTTACCACGGTTTTTTTTTTATTTAAACTAAAATTAGTAATAATATATAATAATCAGGATTTTCTCAATCGCATGATAAAACAATATTATAATACACAAAAATTTGATACTTTTTGTGTCATTGAGAGGGAATTCATCAAAATCTTGACCGTCCGCTCTCAAATCCTAAATACACACCACTGTTCTATACGTATAGTCGAAACGGCTTGCTTCGCGTGTATTATTATATTGTGGCATACGCCGAGGGTAATCGTCATAATCGGCGGGACACGTATCGTTTTATCGGTTCCGTCACACGACGGAAGCAATTATTATTTTACCCTCAGACGAATCAGTGTTTTCATCTAGTTCGAAAACGCATAGGTACGTCGGAATTTTTCCTTTACCTTCCGTCTGCAGCGAGCTCGCACACGCACACACGCGTCAGGCGGGGGAATTTCACTCTCGACATAAGAAAAGCGTTCCCTCTCCGTCCACCACCGGTGGAGGTCGATCTCCGGACGGCGCGGGAAATCTTCGGCCGCCGCTGCTCGTGGCGGGTTGGGTTCGGTTTGGATCTGTATAGGTACAGTCGCACCGCCACCGCCGCCGACATGTTGCAGTCTCCGAGTGCCGTCCGTCAGAATAGGGACGTCGTTTAATAATTATTATCATTATCACCATATCGCCGTCGTCGCGTCGACTGCAGTTCTATCGTCTCGAAGGAGTGTTTTTTTCCATACGTATTCGGTTTTCCGGCTTTCGCTTTTTCGTCTATGAAATCTTGTCTGTCGCGTCCAAATGAATAATGGCCAACACCGCTGCGCCGACCATGTGTTGTTGTAGTCGTGGGCCCGCGGCGGCGGCCGGTCTGTTGTTTTTGTTGTCGTTGACTTTAAGTCATCAGGCCTCCGCGGACGTCCGGCATGCCCGGCACAAGAGGACGGTATCGGATCTCATGGAAGGACTCATGAACGCCATGTACTTTCACGTGGATCCGATGCCTTTGCCGTCCACCGTAATCGCCCGAATAACTCATTTGTCGGCACCCAGCAAAGTTTACAAGTAAGCCGATATTATTATTATTATTTCCATATTACCCATATGGTCATACGATTTTTACTTGTGTTCCGTATAGATATATATTTAAGCCTATTCTGTTAAAAGTTTATTTCATAAGTTATTTGAATAAACTTTTTTACTCGATCATTGGGTTTTGTATAAGTATAAAAAAAACTAATAAACTAAAAATATGATTTTATTTTGAATATATTTTTTAGTTACTGATGTTATTGTTACATTTCAAAATGGTCATTTCCATGAATTTTTAACTAATTACATTTTAGTTTCCCTTCAATGGGTGATCAAGAGTAAAATTAAAATTAAACAAATTTTGATTAATAGTAACTAAACAAGAATAAAACATACATTTTTTAAATTTAATTTCACTTTCTTTTTAATTGGTACTTGAGTAACTATTAAATAATAATAGTTTTTTTAAGATGGATTATGGAAATGTTATCTGTTGTTCAAAATATGTATTTAGTATTAACGAGTAAATGCACATTTAAAAAAATTTTACCTGTCCTGATACACGCAAGAATTAGTATTTTTATATCGATAGTTTCACTTTTATTCCCAAATTTCAATTTTAATACATGTCAAAATGTACATTACAGCATTTATAATAATTTTCGATTTTACGTTCCTCGAGATGAACCATAGGAAAATACGATAATAATAAATAAGACAGCTGTTGTCTTTTTTATATGTAATTTATATAACTATATAGCCGTATAGGTAAGTATTAAATATGATCTGTTTGTATTGGTATTATATTTATTTTATCATTAATTCGTTAAAAACACAATATACTGTCATAAGTAATATTAGAAAAATAAAATTCAAGGAGGAAAAATTCCATCAACAAACTATTTTTGTGTATATCGTATACACTATACAGTATACACATTACACAATATGTATACAGGTCGTTTTAAAAGTTTTACAGCAATTTCCAGACATTAACCAATTTCATCTCAAAACTTTACGCTCCGCAAAACTTGGTACTTTAGTTTCTAATTTTTGATCCACTGGTGCTAATTTAATTTCATGAAAATCCCCTCTCACACAGAATAGTATTAAATATTGATGATAGTTTCTTCCTATCCTAAGAGTAAAGATCATATACCAACACTTAACATATAAGTTGGAATTTGCTAAGAATGGTCTGTCACAAACATTCGATTATTTGGGTACCAATTTCCAAAGTGAGATTTCAAATAGAAATTTAGCTGGCCGTACATTTTGGGTAAGTAAGTTTTTCGATCACTACAATGTTCATTATGTGTATGACTTGTACTTGGATAATGTTAATTATCAGCAGTCCATAAACTGATCATAAAAACATTATAGTACCTACTTCCTATATAATATAATTTATTATTATAACACGTTACCATACCATTTTGCCACGTCTTATAGTTATATTTCTTATGATATACATATTATCTGTTTTTGAAAAATATTTATTATTGCCTATTGGATTTCTATTTTCTTTTATTGACACAATATTGATTCATCACAACACTTTAATCGTACATTGTATTCAATTCATTTCGAATAGTATTATTATTCATATATTTTGTATATTATAGTATATTATATTGATGGATGACACTTTCAGATTAAACAATTTTAAATAATTTAATATGCATTTATCACTTCAAATAAATTCGAATAGTAAAAATAAAAATAAAAATTGATAAATTGGTAACATTTGTTGAAATATCGATTACCGATATTAATATATTATAATAATATTTAACTTCGATATTTCGAAATAACTAATTTTTCTTACATAACATACTATATAGTAGATAGGAAGTGTTTTTTATACGTACAAAGTGGAAATCGTATGTATTATGTATTGTGTTATGAAATTTTTTTATAAAATTATGCACTGTAAATTATCGATGTCAAATATCTATTACCTGAGAATCATTAACTTAAGATTTGAAATTGAATTATTTTTTAATAGGTCGAAAATATCCTTAAAAGTACTCAGCAGAATAGTAATAATATCTATACTATGACCATATTTTTGATTATTTCTTCTACCGCTGTTTTCTAGTGTTTTTTTTTTAATACGAAAGTAATACAATTTAAATATTTTAACGAATTAAGTACATGATAATGTACCAAGTAGAAGTAATGCTGTGTAACAAAAAAAAAATGTTTGACTGTAGGTATTTAATGATATTCATATTTATTTGGTGAAAATGTAATAATAATAATATTTTTATTTATTTTTTGATTGGATTATAGACAAAAAAAAAATTACACCCACGTAGTCAAAAAATATTTTCTTTGATTATATTATTGTAAAAGCGCTCGTTATTCTGCTAATAACTATAAAATAATAGAAGTGAAGACGGGCGATGGCCCCGTGTATTGAGTATTTTCATTCGTCATAGATAATTTTTTATTATATTTACTATATTTATTATTTTTTTTTACTAAGGAGAAAAGTATAATATTGTTGTTTAAATAATTGATCAATTTCGTTGGGCAACTAAATAGTTTTAGCTTAGAGTTATAGTGCCACCATTAGGTTATAGGTACCATGATGAGCTAGTAGATCTAATCTATTCTTGAGATATAATTATTTTAATATATTAATAAGAGTATAAAATAATTTATAATACCAGACTAAATCAATTTAAACGTTATAAGTTTATTAGATCACATGCAATCAAATATTCAAATCCCTAGAGTCCTAGACTATTTAATTTTTTTTAATTTTTAACAATTCTTTGAAAAATAATTCTTATTTTTACTATAATTAATGGTTCTAGAAGATTTATGTTAAATTTATGTAATATGTTGTTTGCACTTTCCAGATTTTATTGTTATGGGTGAAATGTGCACTAGTTCATTGCTTTTTCAATGATAACAATGTGTTAGATGACTTTTTTTTTCTTGAACTTCTATTAATATATTTAATCAAAAATTCGATTCATTATCGTTAATTTAATGCGTCTAGAAAATTATACTACAATGTTCAGCGATTCACGTGAATTTCTATTTAAATGTATGTTACTTGATGTCACGTACAAGACTATTGTTTATAATCATAATTCAAAATCGCCACCCAAGAGAAAATACCTTTGTCCAATTTAAATTGCAGAACAATCGTTTATGAAACTATATTCATTTTATTTTTTTTAAAGTCTTTTTCGAGACATTTTAATTTTTGTTTTGATACGGTAGATTGACGCGTTTGATTTTTTTCTACAGGTACGTTCCAGTGCAAACATTAAAGTTATCAAAACTGCGTGCTCGTCAAATAGCTGAACCAAAATTAAGACTAAAATATCCGAAAAAAATTTCAATAGCTACAGAAGACTCGTCGTTGACATTGTTGAAAAACGATCTTCCGTGGACATTACACCCGCTTCCACCTCCTTTGCCAACGTCCAAAACTATTAAGCTCGAGGTGGACAAATCAATGCCATGGGCATTGCACCCATTACCGCCGCCTGTTAAGACGAAAAATTATTCCGATTACTATTGGCCGGACTCTAAGACACGGCCAAAGTACTATTACAGGTCGAAACCGTCGAAACCGTCCAAGCCATACCGTTATATTACTAATAATAACTATAAATACAAAAATCCAAAGGCTCACGCCAACTTCAAACCGACTTCGGAGTACATCAAACCAGCTGTCAATTATAAGTCCGTGGTCGACCATGATACCAAGCCAGACGATTACAATAGTCACGACGATCATAAGCCTGCAGATTACAATAGTCACGTTGATCATAAGCCCGCCGGTTACAATAGTCACGCTGAACATAAGCCCGTCGATTACAACAGTAATAATAACAAGCCCGACGACAATAATTATAATCACGCCGGGTACCCGCCCGATAGTTTCAAGTACATCGATTACAAGCATACCGATTACAAGCACGTCGATTACAAGTCTCCGGACTACAAGTCCGAATATCCGAAGCATGTTATGGAAGAAGAACCACACGAAATCAATAACGACGACGACCACTACGATCACAACGACGTTTATCATTACTCGCACGACGATCACTCGGCCCAAATCAACGATTCTCCGTCGCCGTCGTCACAGCCGCCACCGCCTTCCGCCGAGTACGTGTCACACATCACCATCGAGCCGTCCATTCAAATCGCGTCGTTTTCAGAAACGGAACTGCAAGGCGATGGTACGAACAGGGATAGTAGCAGCCTGTCTCAGGGTGATACGAAACACAGGTCGTGTCAGTGTACGCTAAACGGACACCGGCACAAACGTGACACGGGCAACGACGACGACGACGACGATGGTGTTCGTCTACCGTGGACAACCAACCGTACCACTACGGTAACCAATATCGACGCTAATGTAAATCGTACTGCGATCCGGAAGCCAACGGATTCGAACTCGGCGCAGTCCTCTCGGAACGCGTACTTCGCGCCTCGTATCGGACACGCTACCGACGTTCAGATAATCAAGTCACACGATATCACCGAACAGTCAATGATCAACGGTCCTGCAAACGGTCCTAGTCCTGTGAACGATCCTGGCCGTGCACACGGTCCTGGTTCTGCGAACGGTGTGGGTTACGTTCTACGGGTGCGTAACATGAACAACGACCATCCGGTCGCGCGGCCGCCACCCGCCGAAGCGGATCGTGGACAGGCGAAAAAGAACGACGCGACCACGTTCAGGGACGAGAGCGACAAGTTCAAAGTGGACTTTGGTCGCGATATCAACGCTTGGGACGAGTCGAAATCGGCTGCCAACAAGCAAGGACGGTATTCGCTGATAAAACACGACGTAGGAGGTGGAGGCGGAGAAGGAAACTCGGGCTTTGGGGACGACTACGGAAACCAACCATCCAGAGACAGACCGGATCCGCGGGGGAGAGGTTATCACGCCGTTACCAGCAAGGTGGAGAACTCGGATCGAGGAGTGTCATTCAGCGTGCAAACTCCTTTTTCCGTTTCCAGTTTCTCATCGAACGTCCGACATCCGGAAGAACGTCAGTCCCGGTTTCGTTACACCGGACACAAATCCGAATCGTCGGTATCGCCATCGCCGGCACCGTTGTTGTCTTCGTTCCGGAGCGAATACGCGGAACCACCGCTGGACTTTGAGCAGTTCGGCTTGAAGTCAGCTCTAGGCGACGACCATCCGCTCAGTCCCGATTTTTCGAGGGACTTGTTCGAAGACAAACAGCCGGAATCCGCAACGATTGGTCGGCTCTCGTCTCGATTTCCGGAGAGCTTCGGCGCGGATAGACGACCCAGCCCCGGGTTCTCGGGTCGACCGGTCTCACACTTTTCGAGGGATTTCGGCCACGATAACGACGACAGGAGTCGTTTGAAAACGTCACTGAAACCGTTCCGGTACAACGCGAAACACGGGCCATCGCAGTCGGTCGACGATCTTTTCGACATCCGGCCAAAGGGGGGACGTCCGTCCAATGAAGAATCGGTCTTGGAATATTTCCAACCGGTCATTATAGATTTCGACAAGTCAAAGCAGGACGACAACGATTTCAAATCGTTTGGTGGCAGCAGTAACAACAACTACGGAGGAATCGACAAATCGAAGTACTTCGGTAAAACGGACACTTCGATTTTTGCGAAATTCAAAAAGAATCAGAACTCCGATCAGCTTCGTTTGCCCGGCCGTCTGCACGAATCCAACGAGAACTTGTCGAGGAAAATGCTTTTACACCCTTCCACGTTCGACATAGATTAGCACGAATGTCTAACTATTTATATATAACAGCAGGCGATATAGTTGTCCTGCTTGCGCATATAACTATTTAAATGTGTTTTCGTATAAACCATGATTTACTTACAACCATCGTTAAAAACCATGGAATGCAATAAGTATTTAAAAAAACTCATACTTTGCCATTATGCACTCTTTGTGTGTAGGTAATTATTATCATTATTATTACTGTCTTAAGACAATGTATGCATAACCACTCCCAGCACTGTACTAAAAAATAATTGAAATATTTTTTATATAAATATTATTATATACAATACGATATTGATCGGTTGTTTCATCTTATAAGAGCGAATTTCTGTCTGTATAACTAAATACAGTTCGGTGTGTTTACAAAGAAAAAAAACACTTTTTGTAGTGAATACTTTATTTTATTTTATTGTTTAAAATAATATTTAAATCTGTTATCGCTAATAAATTTAGGGTGCCATGTAAAATAAAATATTTTTAATATTGGATAATAATAAAACGTTTTTATACACCGTGGTGACATTTAAATATGTTCCGTGAAACGGCTATTATTTTTATAATTTACAGAACGTGGTTTGCGATTAATTTGTACACTTTGAGCATATACATATTATATAATGTACAAACATGATGCATGTATTGATTTCAATTACTCTGTTCATATAATATAGATTACAATATGATCGTTTATATGTTACGTAATGATTTTCTTGATGGAGTTATAAAATATGTAATTTAATTATAATATTAAATAAATAATTTAATTTATATGTATAATGTAAACGTATCGACATTTGAAAAGCTTAAATTGTTTCAGAAATACTTCGCTGTACCTATACTGAAAGCGCATCATTTCGATTGCCTTTAAGCTCAATTATGAATAGATATTATAGAAAAATAAAACTATAGAATATTGTATTGTTGAAACCACTGACATTTAAGCCTTGCAGTTGCTATTGTGACTTTGATTTGTGATTCGTATTTTCGATTTACTGGAAATAATAAAATTCGAAAGCAACTGGAAAATTCAAATAAATACTTTAAACTATCAACATATTATACAATAACGGTTATGATAATGCATTGATTTACTATGGAAATTTGATGATTTGGAAAATCGAATCGGTATTGCTACCTATAGGTACATCGTGTAGGTAGGTGCATCTCATGTTTTTTTATGATCGACTGTAAAATGTTTAATTTATATTTTATACACACTAAAAATGTTTGTCTAATACTCTAATACATTATACTATTTTAGACTATAGTAAACAGTTGATGAGTGTAAACATTTATACGTACGTAACCTATTTCAGTGCCATCGCCCATCGAAACATAGAGTACCTACATTTTAAACTCGTATATATAGGTACTATTGATATATAGTACATAGACGATTTTTTATAAATTAAGTAAATGTTTTTTATTTTTTTTTTATCAGAGTAATAATATATCCAAATACGAAGGAGTATTCGGAGTAGTAAGGTAAAGACGGAAATGACGACGGACTGAGGATCACAAAAGACTATAATACGATTACTGACCCCACTTGTAATGTGAAATACAGATTAAAGGTCAAGGTAAGGACGAGATCAGTTGAAAACGATTTTAAATCTAAGCGAAAACGATTACAGTCTGCAGTCGTATTTCGTAATTCGGAAAATCTGAATAGGAATGCGTACCATTAAATCGGGCGGAATAATAATATTATATAAAGCTTATCGTTGAATTCGTTTGTGATCTAAGAAAAAAAAATGAATGAATAATATTTTCGTAGGGGTACTTTAGTCTTGCAGAGCAGTTATTATAATATGATTTGTCAGCTATATAGAAAAACAAAAACATATGCAATTCCTCCCAGTACTTCTCAATCTTTGAGCGGTTTATATACTATATACATATATTACGTACCTACATAGTTTTCGGTATACATTTCCAGCGACCTTGGATTACCAAAATGCAATTAAACTGAACGTGTCTATTTTTTTAAAAGCACCTATTTACTGAATAGTAATATTTTTACTTTCAGAAATAATTGTCAATGCAAAAAATAATTTATGATCGTGTTGGTGTACCAACGGCTGAGAAACGCGCTGGTCTATACCCAAAATGTTTACATTTATTCATAACCATTAGTCATTTTATCTAGTCCAATGACTATGATATTCTCTTTTCTGACAATAATTGTTTTTGACGCAACTCGTAATATTATCGTAGCGCGTTATTCTGCATTTTAAATACACGAGTTATCACGAGGAAACATATAATATGGCTTATGAAAGAAATTGGAGCGTTTACCTGAGTATAACTGATAAACTCCCGTGGTAATAATGACCATGAGAGCTAACAACTTGGCATACGTGAAAATGTCTTGCACTCGTGTTGCCCACTTAACGTCCCAGCAGTTGATAAACGTCAATAACACTAAAAAACAAAATATAAAAACAAGAATTTAGACACGGGTGAGTATTTTCGACAGGTGTCATTGTATAGTATACTATTGTAGTCTGATATTTGTATTTTCTTAGCCTTAGAAATCGTATTCCAATAATTACACATACAGCTTAACCTATCCAAAGATAGTATTATTTAATACATCATGCAAATAGGATTTTTTTAACTATATACTAGGCAAGTAGGTACATAATAATCAGGCTCTATTTTTATGTGCACCACGACACACAATGTGCACTACGATTTGAAAGTGTGTGCAGTACGGTCTACAAATCAAAAATTAAATAATATATACTAGTTACTAGGAAATATGAGTATTTTCTGATTTTTTTTTAAATTTAAATTATATTTAATTATAATTAATTTTTATCAATTTTCAAACATTGTTATCTGTTAAAATATTTTTTGTGATAATAAAAAAAATTATAACGCTAGTTACAGGAAAATATCCTCCCGAACTCCGCCTGTTGTATAACATTTCGCGGTTAAGTTTTTCAGCTTTACAGCTTTGTGGTGAATTAACGATTGGAGATAAAGTTCTGAAAATCTCCACTGCACTTCTCCTAGCCAATATGAATCTAACAAAACCCCAAACAACAAAATCCGTTTTCCAGTTTCGGAAACTACCTCGCTAAATGAAAATCTAGCAAAAAATAACTTTTTTTTATCTGTGAAAAATTAAATAGTTTTAAAAAAAAAATTTTAATTCCACATTTAGTGTCTACTTGATAATCCCTTTTTAATGAGTTATCAACCCACTTTCTAGCTTGGTATCATAGTTTAGAAGAAAAGTTACAAAATAGAAATGTTGGGACTGTTAACGCCAACGTTTTTGTGGATTCAAGTAGTTATACCGCTTGGGTATGATATCAAATCTCTCTCATTAATATTTTATATTAAAGCTAGCTAAATTATCCACCTACTCATCATTACTGAGTTAGATTTTTATTATTTTCCTATTTAACAGAAATTCTTAATGTTTTCAAAATTCAGACTTTTTTCATTTCAATTACCTACTATACTTACTTGATTAAAAATCAAGAAAGTAATATGTATTGTTATGATTTTAATTATTAATAAGTTCAGTTAAGGTTTTTATTATTATATGTTGTTTAATTTTTATGATTTTTATTAAAAGATAAGTATTTTGTTGTTTTATTGAATTACATTGTTAAACTATTATACATATATAATATATAATAGATATGTATATATATATATACATATATATTATATATATATCAGTTTTAAATAAAGAAAACCAATTTGAAACATTTTTACAGTTTTTACGTATAAAAAATTTATAAGTAGGTCATATTAAATTTTAGTTTAATGTTAAACAATTGTTAACAATATTATAAATCACTGGGAGTTAAAATTTTAAAATCATCTATTATACAATGTCATGTTGGTGATAGACGTATAGAGGACAATGTTGTACAAATGTAAAATTTTTTTAATAATATAATATACTATATTATAGGAAGCAATCTTGCGTTCTGAGTGAAATATTTGGAACCGTCAAAGTTGTGTTCATGTTCAATTAAATGCAATCATGATTAATATTATGTCACCAACATAATACTACCTATCTAAGAAATATAAAAAAATGTTATACGCCACTTATATGACGTTCATGGCACGTATCAATGCACAATGAATGTCCTTAAAAAATGATTTCTTTAAAACGGATAATAGTTGTAAAACCATAGTTTGAAAACGTCTGTTATAAACATTAATCAAGAAGATTCAGTTCTGCTATGATTTTCATCAACTATATCAAACATCAACTACGGTACACATTTACACAATACAAATAACGGTCTTATTGATTTCAAGAGAAAATTTTATTTGTCGAAGAGATAATCTCCCCGCATTACTTCGTTTAATTGAAATAACGAAATAGACTGTCCTTTAAAAGCTACTTTTATTTCAAATGTTTTTCGCGCGTTCTTACAGCGTTTCGTCGCCTTTGTAATAATATATGATCCTATACCTATGCCATTTGATTAAATTATCACGAAAAAGGAAAATCCACTCACCATAAATGCGAGTACTATTTACGAATAAAAGAAAAAGAAAATTTAATTTATGATCACTACAATAAACAACATTAATACACACAAAATAAAAAGTATTTTATAGGTATCTACCTAAAATTGGTTAAACTCAAAATATATTTAAAAGTGACGAGAGAGTATTATATATTATTATGAGATTAAATGATTATTAACTTCTTTATTATTTATTGGAAAAAAACTCAGATTTATAGGTTTCGTTAGTTTTTAAAATTTTACTAGGTACGTATTTTAGATTCTGAGCGGAGGAATGAGAATTTATGTATTGTTTTGCATTAATGTGTTTTTTTGTGTCTGTTTTCATAGTTTAGCCCAGTAAAAATCCTTCTATTTACAACTTTAGAATCTTTTTTGATGGGAAGGTGTTGGTGCATTGGAAGGTCAAAATTTAAAATTTCCAGTAGTTTTCAAAAGCGCCGGGAAAACCCAATAAAAAATTATGGAAATACTGGAATTTTTACGCAAAATAGGTTTGGGTTTTTGGTATAACTCTAAAAAAAATGTATCGTAGATACACAAAATTTCACTGAATACATATTATTCTTTCTATCCACCATAAAATTTTAAAATATTTTGACACATTTCGATATTTTTGCGGACATTTTCAATTTTCAATTTTTTTAGTTTTTTTTCCATAAATGTCAATATAACATTTTCGTTGGGTCAAAATGCTTGAAAATAGAATACAAGGCTCCTTACACATACAATATCAGTTTAAAAATATTAAAAATATATAGGCAGTATTTTTTTATAAGCTTTTTAAGTTCAAAGTTGACATAATTTGCTTATTTATTATTGTTACGTTTTTTTTTCAAATAGGAGATTGCCCCAAAAGGTCCATAAAGCATTGTGTAATCTACTAATGTGTAGGTATAGTAACATTTTCCATTGTATAGTATTATGATGTATACTTTGTATATTCTGTAGATTTAATATATAGAATAGACGATATACTTCAGTTTTCAGATCGATGGCATGATTACATGGGTACATTACACAATATACCTAGTAAGTACATATCTACGATAAATATACATTTAACATTTATGAAACCAATTTACTTTGTTGTTGGTTTAAAAAAATATATCAAATTTAGGTTCAATACATTTTTTGTTTTGGCCCGTATTCTTTAGAATTTAATGGTGGGTACCTTTCAACATTTTCATAGATAGTATCTCGTTTTATCAAATTATATTGGTAAATATAACTATTAAAATAATATTTTACCTGATGATATTGAATGTTCTAAATTATTCATATTTAATTTTATTACAGAGTTTATTCGAGTTTTGTTAAACCCGACCTAATCCTCGTACTAATGTAAAAGTGATAGAATATCAGGCAAAAACGAATTAATATTTCGTTTATTTAAACTTTACAGTTATGGTTATGCGAATAAAAAATAATAATATGGCATTCAAATAAACTTTTATATAGTTTTATTAACTATAAAAAATAACTAAATTGTTATGCTTTATGTGCCATTAAGATGCAGTGTAGGTTATCCATCTTAATCTATGCCATGAACGAAATTTTAAACTATCATTTCACTTGCTCGAAGATCATCACCACGCAAAAAGATTCCTCCACGTGCGAGCACCGATATAGATATGTTTAATTTAAATCTATTTAACGCGTACAAAAATATAATATGATTTCGATCTCTCTATAAAATAATTTGTTTTATTGTTATCGTGACGTAAAAAATTGTATTCACACTATTGTCATATAATACATTAATATGTACCTATTTATTATTGTTTAGGTTATAATATCTTCTTCACCACGAATTATTCATGAATATTGCAGTTAACAAGGTGTTTCCTTTCTGACTATTTAAAGGATCATAAATATGAATTTATACAGAGTGAATATATTACTTGGCCTATATACCTAAGTATATAATATTCTGCTGTTATTAATAATATATATTTCGTTTAATGATTTTTAAATTAATAATAATAATATTAATAATATATAATAATTATATATTTATCATATTCAACGCGTCATACTTTCCTTATTCCATAGTCATAACTCATAACTATATAATATTATAATATGTTATTATATTTAAGACGCGAAAATAGATAATATTTTAAATGAAAAATTAATCAAAACTCGACTTTAAAACTCGTCGTTGTTATAATGTTATGAGGGTTTAGTGATGGTGTACCGTTAGATGTGCGCATAACATCTGGTGGGAGGCTGTGGGCGAAAGTTTCATTGATTTTTCCCGAGCTCCTGGTGGAACGGTAGTTATGTCCACGTGGATTTTCCCATTGGAGAAAACCACGCACGCGGTTCTTACACACTTCCGGAATGAAATATTCTTAAATAAATTATGTACTATTCAGGTTTAAGTGCAGATTTAAAAATAATAACTTTTGAAAATGAAACATTACAGTTTTACTAAGTTCATTAAACGGTCCGTTGAAACATCAGCTAATATTAAATACCTATAACAATCCTCGTATATTATTATTATTGTTATTATCATTATCATTGTGATTTGTGGATCTTTTGAATAATATTACGACTGCGTAATAGTTTATAATAAAAAAAAATATTACAGACTACAGGAGCAAATTTTCTTGTCAGCTTCAAATGTCTAATCTGTTTGAAAGTTTAACTTTTTTATTAAATTATCACTGATCAGTCTCTTAATACTGTAACTAAAAATGAAAAATGGTTAAGTATTGCAGTGCATAATATATAGTGCAGTTGCCCACTTGCCCAAACTCATCAACCTATAAATAATTTTAAAACAACATTTTCATTGGAAAGCCAATTAATTTATATTATGCCCAATCAATGATAAATACCAGTTTTTATTTATTATTTACACATATTTTAATTGAAGTTTGAATACACTTTTAATCAAATACTCTATAATTTGTTATTGGTACCTCTCTTTTTTGTTTAAACTTGGATTTCTTTTAATATTTTATTATTAGATATTGCATGTTTGATGGGTTAACAGTACAAAGCTACTGCAGTTGTACACGCTATCTAAAAGTCTACTGGACCGTTTGTTGTTCTCTAGATTTATTTTATAATTTATATACAATTGTGAAATTGGTAAAACTTAAAGACATCACACTAAAATAAAATAAATTTACATTCGGATTCGTTAGGTGAAAATGTACTTATAATCATCAAACTTGTGAAATTAACGATCACAGACCAAGTGATTGTTAGATTAAATTATATAAATACCTACTACCAGTTATTTACCGGCAACGATATTTCACGAGAACAAATCTAGTAAAAATAGCAATTTATGTCTGTTTTTGCTGATATATTACTATAAAAATTAGGAGTAAAACTATAAATTTCTCGAAAATATTGTAATATGTACAATGTACATTTCAATAGATCATACAAACAAGGTGTTTGATGCCAATGTATGTCATTTTACAAGCTATATTTTCAAATTCAGGACATTTTTACAAGTTTTGTTTCGAAATTGATGTTTTCTGTATTTAAAATGAGTAAATTAAACTAATTTCAATAATGGTTAATCATATGCAATAGATAGTGGTACTGAGTTCACTCATTTCGGATTACGCATATACGTTTTTTAAAAGTGACATAATATATAGATCAACCTATTTAAACAAATAGATTCCATCCAGCAGCAGCAGGTTTCTAACGTGACTATACGGTTTTTATTTATTTATCTGCAGATTTAAGTTGTTATTCAGTGACGTTTAAAGTTTAAAAAAAACTGTTTTTAATGTTTTGCCATGTACCTACAGTAGATTTCGAATACGGTCAGTGTGAATTCTGCCACGTTTTTTAGCTGTTTCAACGAAACAACTAAAAAAAAAAACGAGAAAGTAAAATATAGCTATACAATATTTTTACTTTTCGAGGATTAAAAACGGTTAAAAAAGTACATCCGGCAAAAGAAATAAGAGACCAGATTTGAAAACAGCATAATAAATACAATGTACAATGCACACAATAGGCTCGGCAACAACAAATATTTTTTTATTTTTTACAAAATAGTTTATTTACAAACTGTAATATTTTTAATTTTATATATGATAAGTACCTAAATTTGATAATATAAGATTAATAACAACATGGTATCACATGAAGAGGGAGGCCCACCATTGTGGAAGCTCTCTGACTTGGAGGAAACGAATATATACGATGTACCTATTATTAGTTATTACAATATTATTACAGTTTAATTTCAATTATAATTTAGTTTTTATAGATTTTAAGGTTGATGAATACTATAAAATGTGTTAATCACTGACCCAATCTCGTATACGCAAATCTCTTTTTATGGTTAACCTTGGTGTCTTATAATTTCCTATCATTGACAATAGGTTAGTATATTTTCCCTATTATTTTATAACGTCAGTCCATCGAGCCAATTCTGTGAATAGATTTGTTAGAAATAAGAGAGCAAATTATAAAATTTAAAAGCAATGATAAATAATCGTATTAAAAAAAAACCCATTACAATTCACTATTAAAATCACATTATACAATAAATTCACTGCAGATAAAAAATAATCACATGACATTTTTTTTTAAAATTGAGTTAAAATTATTCTTAAAACAAAGTTTTCGAAATTATTGAAAACAGTTGGCAAATAATCTACACAATAATATACTCGGTTTATAAAAAAGTATATGATTTCATATTTGAAGACAACAGCAACTAATGTCCGTAAAATTAAAGGTAAAAAAATACATAACTCGATTTAGAAAAAAGAAAGAGAGAAGGAGAGAAAAATGAATAATTATGAACTTTGGACTTTAATCTTATTCTGCAATAGTGCAAAATTGAAGTCATCCACACAATACTCATGAGTAGTATTCTCTGATTAACTAGCTGACATGTCTACCAATTGTACACGTAGTTCAGTAGGACCTTCCATATCATAATAATATAACTTATATTGTTTATATTTACACAGTCGCAGTCGTAGTTTTTCCTTACTGTTACCGGGCCAATGACCATAATAATCATTATTATGTAGGTATATATTATTATATATTATAAGATCGATGTCGATATACCTATCTATTACCTTATACCTATACAAAATAATCCGTGTATACACGTAGATATTATATACTATAATGCGAGCTGTGATAATTACCTATGCAACACGCGGCCAGCAGTCGTGTCGACTCTTCGGGCGGATCGCAATCGGTGTACATGGGCTTCAGCACGTACAGGCTAAACGTGAGAGCGACTATGGCTTGTGAACACGGTCGGACGATCATGCACTCCACCCACAGTCGCATGAAAGCTATAAACGGGCCAAACGTCTCCATGATGTACGCGTAGTCGGCTCCAGACTTGGATATCATACATCCCAGTTCCGCGTAACAATAGGCGCCGACCTGAGGAATAATAATGCATAGCGGGTAAAGTCTGCGGCCACGACGACGACCCGATAAAGTATAATAAGGCGTGTGACGTGTTTAATTGTGCGGTTAAAATATAGTGTCTGTGGTCGCATAAACGATGATACGACAAACCGTTATATTTTAATGAATCTGCGAGCTCTAAAGGGTCCCTTAAACTGAGTTAAACGCGACAATTGATCCATTAAGTTTTAGTGAACTGAAAGGATTAAATCGATAAATTTTGAAATCAACTCGGCATAAGACTGTCAAGAGGACTATAAACATTAATACCCGTAAGTAGGTACTGTCTCAGTGTATAATCACGTCCGTTCTGCAGTAAAGTGGCGTCATCGTTGTCTATCTAACGGGTGACATATAGCGAAATAATTCCAATAAGCGTAATCAAAATTGTACATTGTGCGTCTATATATACGGTCGATATCTGTAGAGTTCAAACACCTGTTGATTTCGAGAGGAGAATGTTTTCGAGATAATGTCAATGACCAATCTACGGTATATACACACATTTCCTCAAATTTATTATTTTTGTAAATTTGTAACTTCATCGTTGGACAATATACTTATATTTGATAGAAAGGATGTAATGGATGTCATTGTCTACCGTAAAATATATAATATTCTCCGCTTCAAGTTTGGCAAAAGATGTTTAAACTCTTATATCGACCACAAACTCCACAATTTTACACTATTGCGTAGTGGAGTTTTGCAATATGGCATGGCATACCAAGTGGACTTTTGCAATATTGCTCGTTAGATATTGACGGATAACAGTGTGTCCCTACGAGTAACACGATGTATCCTCTTAATGCACGTCATTACGTCAAGTATTTCCGACGTAGTCTTGTCACAGGTGTGGATTTGTACATCATTTGACATTTGGGTAAGTGTAAATTATTATATTATAATATTAAATGCATGTAAGAAAAACTTACGAGTACTCTCGTGTATTTCGATTTTAGAATTTTTACTAATTATTTGTATGTATGTATACCTAACCTAGTATCGTCTATTGATCAAAATTCGACCGTAAAACCGCTTTAATATTGTAAAATCAACACCCTCTAAAATAAAGTATTTTTTATAAAAAAAAAAAAACTGCACAGTTAGGTATCGACGTTTGTGCTTCTTCTTTTTTTATTCGTATGAACGTTTTACATGGAAAAAAAGGTAATTCTTATATTTTAGTTCTAGAGTCTATAAGCTAAGCTGGTATTTCCTTTTGATGTACATTTAAATGATAAATAATAATTAACTATTATTTTGTTTTATTATATTATAAACTGGTTACTTCTTTTTATTTCATATCACCCGCATCTACCGGTAAATTTTTTTAAAAATTATACTTTGCTGCACAGATGGCTTCAGCCGTATTTCTATTTTCATTTTAACCTGCCTTAACGGCAACATATGTATCATCTCAACTCTTTAAGACCTTTAGAAGTGCAACAAAACCTGATGGTAAGATTATATCTAAATAAAAAAGATTTAGTAGGATCCTCCAAAAATAATTACATTGAACTTAATGTACTTCCGATCATGTCCCTCTCCATGCAATTTGCTATATTACAAAAAATTAGAACGCAAACAGTGGAGTTCACAGGGGGAGCTGACGGGCCGAAGCCCCCCCCCCCCATTGCCCGTATTATTATTGCTTTTTCCAATACCTTAGCTATACAAATTTAATATTTTATACATTTTGAACTACAAATTAATTGTGGTTTTATCAAAATTTGAACTTTAAATGCTTTTAAAAAATAATCTTGCCTATATGTATTGTTAATATTTTTAAATACCTAGCAATAATAAAAACTTATGATGAACCTTGTATTAAATATTTAAGCTTTTTTACCAAACAAATAATTATTTATTGACATTTTTAGAAAAAAAAATTAAAATTAATCAAATGCAATCCAAGTGAAGACGGGATCTAATCAGGATTAGGTACCAAACAATTTTAACAATTTTCATTTATTTTTGTTATTCCCGATTATTTTAAATAATACTGAGAATTTTCTATTGTGACCTCCCAAAAGTACTAACTAGATCCAATTTGCTTCCAAAAACCTCCTATGAAGTGTATGGTAAGAGCATTTTTTGTACTAGAAAAGTTTAAAAGTTGAAGCTGTACAAACATTTTCAAATACCTCACCTAAACGTCTGCAATTATAAGACTGGACAAAATAAAAATAAAATTGTGATTAATTTTCAAGCCCCTCCCATTCAATAATCCTGCGTACGCCACTGAAGTTATTAACAAAGAAGTTATTGATGTACGTGAAAAAAGGGAGTATGACTTAAACTTATTGTAGACAAAAAAAGATATTGGTAAACATTTTATAAATTATCTATAGGTCCAACTATGTTTAATTCTATGCCTTTACTTCTTAAAAAAGATATTTTTCATAAGGTTGGAAAAAATTTAGGTTATTTAAATAACAAAAAAAAATTATATTTAATCACTTAATAAAAAATCTTAATTTGTAGACTCAGTGGCGGCGCCAGAACTTTAATACCAGGTGGGCCAGGCTGGGGCCCAAATTTTTTAGGGAGGGCCAAATTGTCGACTTGATATATATATATAAACAATAGTGATGACAGGCAATTGCGCAGAGGGGTAAGGGGGAGGGTCAACTTCCAATTTTTTTTACACTTCATCGTGTAAACTTACTAAAACAATGATTTGTAAACATGTATTGTATTAATAGTATTTATTTCCTAACAAAATATATATTCATGTAAACACTTTTTAATTTGTATACTCCCTAACCCATAATTACACTCAAAACCAACGAATATTTAATAATAATTTATTATTTTCGTATTCAGCCTCTGGAAAATACACGTTATTTATGAGGCTTGAAAGCATACATAGAGCATAGTTGTCAACCCATTCAAAATGTTGTTCACGCCATCTATTATGACTTAATATTTTCATATTTTAATAAATCATGATTTATTCATGAGATATTTTTTAGTATTCTAATATGATTAAATTTAATTTTTGGGGTGGGCCACAGGGGGGGCCTGGGACTTTTTAAGGTGGGCCCGGGCCCACCCTGGCCCACCCCTGGCGCCGCCACTGAGTGGACTTAAAGTCATAGTTTACTAATCTTGTAGTTTTAAAGTTATATTAACAGTTTACAGTCTTTTTTAATTTAATTTTTTGTTTTTCTTTCTTTAATTCTATTTTAATTTTGTAAACATATGTAAAATCATTTGCCCCACCACAAGCTACGCTTATTGGGGCAAATTAATCAAATTAAATTATGCATTCATTTATTTTTAACAATGTATGTATTTGACTTTCTAATAAAAAAAAAAAAATTGTGTAAAAAGTTGTTTTTTGTACAACTGTATTCGACAATACCTTTCCAATAATATATCTGTTTTCCTGTAATATATGTATGTAGCGGAGTTCCCCGTGCATTAAAAAAAGTGTTGTAATAATAATAATAATAATAAAAAGCTATATATTCTCCAACTATTTGATAGGAATATTATAGCATTTTATTAATACTACCTTACATATTCGGCACGAGGACCATTGTACCAACTAGCATTGTATAACGACTAAACCATAGATCTGAATTAATAATTGCCCCTATTGTAACGACAACATATATACATTATAATAACAACGCATTAAACTATATTATATTAATTTAATATGCTGAACACAACTCGGAGAGCTTTATTGTTGAAATGTTTTTATTTTGAAATTCGTAATAACTATGCCTATACCTGTATAATATACATATCAGTGGCGTTGCCAGGGGAGGGGCTGAAAAGGCTGCAGCCCCCCCCCCCTCCCGAAATGTTAAAAAAATTTAAAAATTATTTTTATGGTCTATGATAGTCGCTCAAAAGGTCTTGCATTATATTTAAAAATTTACCTGGAAGTATTAACACTTTTCAGTTATCCATTTGTGGTAGTACTTATTGAATGTATAAAAGTGTAAAAGTTGATCAGCCCCCCCCCCCCCCCCGTAAAATAATTCTGGCAACGCCACTGATATATATCATACAGTGAAGTATAATATTTCATTCGTCTTATTTGTGATTTTCTTATTCCGAACGTACGTTTTTCGTCATTGTACAATGTTTAGTGTAAAGGCAAGCTATCATATTATACATATTATCATAATATTTCATAGTTTGTTTCATTTTTATTTATTTTGTGGTTTTCCTGGGCATATTTTGGAACTGAGGGAAGTCAAAATCATCCAAAATAATAATAACAATCATAATAATTATAATATGCAAGTAGGTACCATAGAAAATACTCCGGACAAGACCCAAACGATCAGCGAAGCGTTCACCGATCCGGTATTTTCCAACACGCCCGTCGGTGATATGAATATGCCGGACCCGATGATGCTTCCCACGATGACAGTGACGCCGTTCAAAAGGCTCATTTTGGGTTTCAGTTCGATTCCATCGTCTTCGGCAGGGGCCACATCCGCCTCCACTGCCGATCCGTCTTCCTTCCGCTTCACGCCCATTTTCTCACTTGATTATTCTTTTTTTAACGCAGTTGTTGCTGTCTACGACTGCAAGTGGCTCTATATACCCACGGATTTTGGATCTGAAAAGCAAACGATTTAATAATAGCGATGAGGTAGGTACTCGTAATAATGTGTACGCTGATAATTATTTCAATAAGCAAATTCTCTCGTATTCCGTCTCCAGAAGACGTGGATATGAGTACAAATTTGAACAGGTGATTGTACGTCATAGAGATATATTAAATATTCATACTTATACTATTTATAATAATATGTACTCTGTCTCTGTAATATTATGTATATTAAATGAGGTATAGCTATTAGCTGGTAATACAGTTATAAATATAAATTATAACATTAATATAGTGTACAGACATATACAGTACAATATTGCCTACCTAGTCGTGGTTGTTAATATATTGTTTAATGGTATAATTTTTTTTGCACTTCAACAAGAAATGGAGTACCTTCCTGAGGTTTTTTTTTAAATCGCTGTTATTATAAGACACAAGTAAAAATGTTACAAGGACCTTAAAAACATGCCCATCTACACAATTCAACGCCGTCACTAGGTTTTTGTTTGAACATTACATCAAAATTTCGTATAAAATGTCAACCTTTAATAAATTTTATTGATTTAGTAGGTTTTTGCCCATGGAGCGCGCATTCTTATACATGGGCTATTATACCAATACTACATAAACAAATTAAGTACATTTTTCAAAACATTTCCAATATCTTATATTAATTAATTAATGTAATTAATTAATGTTCTTAAAAGTATTACAGAAATACTTAACTCTTCAAAAATATTTTATACTGGGTACCTAATGGAAGCCGGGACAGTCGAATTGCACTTGTTACCTAAATTAAATAGTTAAATTGCACTTGAGTTAATGAAAAAGGTGATTGTCGAAAAAACTGAGAAAAAAAGCAGGTTATGGTCGAACTGCACTTGGGTTCAAAAACAAGTGCACAAAAAAGGGTTTACAACAACATTTTTTTAAAACCAAACTTATTTTGAACATTTAAAAACACTATAACTTCCCTTTCTGCTTGAAATGTAATCGTTGTCATACTAGTTAATATTTTTTTATACTTTTTAATGTTATACGTATGGCGTGGATATAATATTTTTTTTTTTTATTCTTCAAGAAGATAATGGGCCCCACTGAACATGTTCGTGTGGGGGGGGCCATGAGTTCCCATAATATATGTATATTATATTTAATATTTTGAAGAAATTATTTTTTTTTGTAAAAATTATAAGAAAGTGAGTTATGAGTTATATATTATTATACTACCTATTACAAAAAAACTGTAGGCACTTATAAAAACATGTATAAAAAAATGTGTGAAAAGTGCAATGAATAAGGTTTAATATTTACTCTAAATGTATATTTGTATAAGATTTTTGTTAAAACATCTTATTTGAACCCTAGTGCGGCAATTCGACCATTAACCTGCTTTTAACAGAAATGCATTTCAACCATTATAATGGTACCTAACCTATAGGTAGGTACTTTTTTAATATCAAGTGAAATTCGAGTAAAATAAGCGCAATTAGATCTTACCCATTGAAGCTTGTACAGTATAAAAGGTTTCAAGAATTAAGATAAATAAACACTAATCAAATATAATGTACAAAGTGCCTATTATAATATGCGTTAGTTCCAAATATAATTATTGATGTAGAAAAGATAATATGGTTTTAATAAGAAAACTTTAATGATGATTACGTACTAATCAATAATCATTTATAAATAAATTATATATTCGAATTTATGAACTATACTTTTTATCTCATCTTTAACTCTCAGTTCTAGACTAGTCGTTCATATTATATTTGCATATCGGGCAACACTACCGTTTAACAACTAACGGTATGGAATACAGTATACACTATACCTACACTCATGAGAAAGAGTAAATAATATGTATAATATCCGTTATATACAATTGTATTTAAAATATAAATAAATGAGTAGACTTACAGACTGATCATAAATAAATGAATGTACAATGATATAGGTACTATTGTAACTTGCATTAATAAAATACGTATATTACTTCAAAATTAAGGTTAATTATACTGCACAAAAATTACATACTATAGGAGAATATTTTTTTGAAAAAGTTTTAAGTGTCTTAACTTTACACTTTTATTTAGACGAAAACAATCCACTTTTAAATTTTAAATATTTATATGAAAGTTATAATAATTAATAAGAGACATTTTTTTTTTTGTTCTCTATATTCCTTTACATTAAAGAGACGCGAGACTACTGTTATACTTTTTAGTGAAAAAAGATATGGGGCTCATTCCTCGGCTGTAGAGCAAATTGTCTATGTCACCAAAATTTCGAAATATATAAATATAGTTATTTAAAAAAACAATATTATTGAGCTGCCTGTTCGTATTATTAATAAAAATAAATATCTAAAACCTAATTGACAGTTTTAAGTTTGTTGTTGTCTATGCGATGATTTAATAACGAGTAAGATGAGAACCCAGACACACTGGGTGGTTGGGTGTTCCCAACGGAGTTTTTGGGTGGGAGAGGATTCCACTGAAACCTTTTTAAAAAATATTTTTCTCTGGTATGGCCATGTAAGTTTAAATTAATGTTCTTACTTTTGACCATTATCCCCCCCCCCTAAAAAAAAAAAATATTTTTTCTGCATACTTGAATGGGTCATATACCCGTGGACTATGTGTGATGTGTGGGCTATATAATGATCTGAATAGATTTTTATTATTATTTTCAGTATAACAAATGTAATCATAGCTAATGTATAACACGCAAAATTCACCAGATAAACAAATAACGATCTCCGACATGGTTTATAATACAGAGTAGTACCTACGAAAAGATAGGTATCTCTATATTTAACGAATAAATTCAGCAGACTCTCGCTGGCTCAGTGGCATCATACAGTCCTATGCCCATATAACATAATATCATCTCCGATCGACGAGGTCCATATGATAATATAAAGTTTTGTTAAATCACGTATAATTTATTGGCCGAGTATTAAAAACTATACAATTACAGTAGTTGTAGTAGCAGGTAGAGGTATATGTATATAGAATTTAATAAATCCTGTGTATACACTATATACTATATAAGTATATACAATATATATAATGATAATAATACGTGTGTCGCAACTACTTACTATGTCATCGTGAGATAAAAACTAAAAATATATTGTATAAAAAATAATAACGGCGTGCAAAAAAATTTGAAGGCGTCGTCTCGTCTGCCGCTCAACGATTCGGTTACTGAGCAACGCTACTGCTCCCGGTCTCCGTCTATCCTGCGTGACGCCCGACCGCGGTGTTTGCATTTTACGTGCGTGTGTCTGCGCGTGCGCGCGCGCACGCCCGAGCCTTTTTCTCCTCATGTGTGTGTATGTGTGTGCGTGTCAGGATATTGCCAATTCGCAGGCGCAATCCCTTCAAACATAATGGCGCGCGACGATGAGTAGCGTTATTTAATTTCACGCCGAGAAGAGAATATTATGAGCGGACCGCAGGCACAAACGTTTGGACGGTCATGATGATAACACTCGTGTTGTTGTCCCACGCACACACACACACACACACACACACACACACACACACCGTATATAGTGTAATTTTTTTTTTGGGAAGGGGAGGGGTCGAATCAATAACAAAAATGACATACATGAAAATTCTTATAATATGTTTAGTGTTTACTGACAAAAATTTAGTGAATTTCTAAACTTAAGTTTTCAACTACGTACCTACATTTGTAACTTTGTTTGAAGATTGTATTAGAAAATTTTTAAAAAATTTTTTTAAGTTTCATGGCGGTTAACTTTGACCCCCCCCCCCCCATCCATAATCATACACACACATTGTATACATATATGTATAGATGGTATCTGCTGGTGGTTAAACCAATTTATGAAGAAATTATAGAAGTATAAGTCTTTTGTTTGCAACCTGTAAAATAAGTTAGTCAGTTTAAAGTTATAGTAACTAACTCTAATTCATGAGTTCATGACCATTGCAAAATACGAAGTGCGAATATTTTAGAGCAAATTTTTTTTTATGTAATTTATGAAGACTAATGCAATTCCATTAGCAAACACGGACAGTGAACGGCATTAAATCGTCACCCGGGTTAAAGGTAAAACCATAAATTACCATAATAATATGTGTACGGTTTATATTTAATAACAGTAGGTAGGTAATATAGTGACAGCTTAACAGTGTGACTGTATTTAACATATTATCGGTTTGACAAATGTGCAGCCGTTTACAATTATTTAGTTGTAACTTTGTAAGAAGTCAAAACAGATTATTATTTTTATACTTACTTTTTGTAGATATACACCACACTACCACAGTGTAGAGAAGATATCTTCTCAGATATAATGAAGGCGACGGCCGCATTTCGCCCATGACTGAAATTGCCTTTCAATTTGCCTGAAAGAGCCACACATACTATTTTTGTCACGCCTCTGCATTCATCGATCACGGCAAAGGTAATGCAGCAAGACTAGACTATAATATTCTACGACAACAATATTTCATGAAAGAAACGATTTGGTTTTATTTATTTTAAGCGTCAAGCATGGAGGTTATAATATGATTATAAAATGGTAACCAAAAGTTTATGTTTTGTAAGGACCGTGGTATAGATTTCAGTGTCTGGCTGTGCAGAGGATAAGCGCGTGATATGTGGTGCGCCCAGCATTTTTGGGAATTTCCACTTTACAGCCCAGCACTTTTTGGGATTTCCACTTTATTGCCCGGCACTTCTTGGGATTCCCACTTTACCGCCGACTGGATGGAAAAAGGACGCTTTCGAACGCTTCAACCGCTATCGAAAACCAAATTTTCGGTGCAGGCGTGATGAAATAATATATTGTGTGGCAAGGGCGAGAAGTGAGTCATTTCAGTCGCGGCCAACGTGTAAATAGGCAGACTAAAAAAGCCTTCCCGCGAGAGCCACACTTACTAT